ATTGTTCATCAACATTTCCTAAACGTTGCTGGAATATCTTGTGTTACTTGGGGCTAGCTTAAGGAGACTCCAGGTAATTCTTGCTCAATGCATAGAGGGATTGAAGTTCCTCTTGTGAAGTGAGTCACAAAAACGTCTGTGAAAGTTTCGATGTTGAGTGACTCTGCATCTATCTGCCATTAATAATGCATGCGGGGGCCATCTACTGTATATTGTAAATTAAGAACTGCATGACGGACCCGTATATGATAATATATAGGCACATATATCTAATATATTAAATATAGCCAAAACATACCAAATTGTTATATGTGCCATATACATTGCAACAACGCACCATATATGGGGCTAATACAGTATATGAACCAAATATAGCTCCATATTCATTAAGAACGGCCAAAACATTATATGAACTGGACGGCTTCCAAATACAGTCTCCTATATAAAATTTTTATTTGTACCATGTACATTTATATCAAATATGACCGTACAGGGGTGTACGATCATATTTGATATCGCGCATGAAATCTGAATATGGAGTTCCCGTAAGGGCGAGCATGTCCTCAAATCAGATTTGAATGTCACGGCCATGAAGAGAACTTACATCAATGTTCTCCACTTGCCCAGATGAGGGAGATAGCATATAAAAAGTCCAATTCTCTTTCAAGACTCTCCAGAATAAGGGAATAATGGCTATTGCTTTTTTAATACTGAAGACCGAGGAACATCATAACCTGGGTGAATGAACTGTAAATGCCCTTGTTGAGAGATTAACGTCACTGATGGGATGAACGGTACACTCATTCATGACCACCGTTTATCAAGAATCCAAGATCCTCTCCATAGCTCGAGGACGTTGGAAAGGCGTACGCATTCTTTGGATAAATGAGACCCTTGATGAGGACGCCGAGAACGGCGATGGCAAGTGTCATTTAAAAATAAGTATTTCGGGTTCGGTGTCTCGAAGTAATTTCGTAATCCTCCTCTGCAGCCTTAAGTTGCGCAGTGGNGAGCCTTTAGCCGAAGGAATTCTTTTGTTTTCATCGCATCCAACCATCTATTAATTTCGAGGCTACAGGGAGCTTTGCCTCATGTCTTCGTTGGTTATTGCACAACTGCATGAGAGTGTATGAGATTCCTTTCAGGAGCACTGTCGGATGTAAAAGCTTAAAAACATCAAGATGCGAACTTTTCCCAACGGATGAGGAGGATTGCTTATCAGAATTCCAGTACTTCTTATTCAAGACTCTCCAGATATGAGGGAATAATGGCACGGGACCAGAAGGCTATTGCTTTTTTAATACTGAAGACCGAGGAACATCATAACCTGGGTGAATGAACTGTAAATGCCCTTGTGGGCATTTACGAAGCGGAAAAAGGAGGAACATCGAGCATTCCGAGCTGGAGAAGCGAAATCCGGCGCCGGAAAGACAGGTCTCCCCCCTCTCCGATTTCTTTCAGGCGTACAGGCGAAAATTGTGAGCTCATAATACGCATTCGGAGTATTTGCAAGCTTTCAGAGCATCTCCGTGCCGTTCTGTCGAATTCCATTTCCCCAAAGAAGCTGATTCATTCCCTCAGCGTCATTGTCTTTTTTGTCTTAAATTTGTCTTTTATTGTCTTAAATTTATTTTATTGTCTTAAATTTGTCTTTTGTTGTCTTAAATTTGTCTTTTGTTGTCTTAAATTTGTCTTTTATTGTCTTAAATTTGTCTTAAATTTGTCTTAAATTTGTCTTAAATTTGTCTTTTTAAATTTTTCATACAATGGTATGCTGCGCGCGAGTGTACTGGGACGCTCAGTACCGCTCTGGGCCACTTGGACCAGATCTCGAGATTAAGGGAATTTGGAGCTTGACTGAGATTGGCTCGTGATTTCCAGACAATCTCGGCTGGAAAACGACTCTCGTGCTGTTTCCCTGTGATCCCTGACTTTTCGTTGCACACTGTAGGTCTTGGGCCAGTTGAAGATGATTCCGCGAAGTATCAAAAGGAGGGCTGAATTAATAAGCTGGGTTCGTCGGCGATAGAAGGAGTAAGAAAAAAAAGTAATTAAATTAGTTTACCAAAATTTGCTGATTAGATTCTATGCCGATTCGAAATTTATAGCGAGAAATTGCTTAAAAAGAATAATAAATAATAAGGATATTGATAATTATCAGAAATGGATTATATTTCCCAGTTCCCGATAAAAATTCCCGATATTATAATATTAGGAATTTTTTTTTTTCGGCGACCGGTCGGCGTTCCGGCCGACTGTTGACACTTCGGACACGAACGACGACTCTCGCAAGAGACGATGTCCTTCCTCAGGACTTCTTCCATAAAAGGGAGATGAAAGAGAGATGTGAATAGATGGCCTTCGCCTTGAGAATGAGCTTCGGAAGAAAATCTGGAAATCGACGCTGAGTGAATTTTTTTTCTCGAAATTTATTATCAATTCATTATTATTTTATAATAATATTTTAATTTATTTAATATTTTCCAGACGAGACGTCAAGCGACGAGCGGTGGCCGATTTACCTTGAAATCTGGATTTTTACCCATTTCTGGCCAGAAGGCAGGCTCCCGCCGCAGAGAAGCAAGGCAAGAACGTCGCCCGTGCTCGCCGGGGGTTTAAATCGGAATCCCTCGACTTCTGCCAACGACTTTCCTCGTCTCATCGTCTTCCTTGTCGGTGGGGTGACTTTCTCCGAAATGAGGTCTGCATATGAGATCACGAAGGCATACAAGAGTGGGAAGTCATCATCGGTTCCACGCTGATCCTCACCCCAACAAAATTCCTCAAGAATTTGAAAAATTTAGAAAATGTCTTTTAGACTCAATATCACCAACCGATATTCGACCAACCTCTCACATGGTTGCAGTGTTAAACACCCTTTTGAAGCAACCCTTCATGTGGTCCTCCTGCTATCTGAAAAGGTCCTACCACTCATACCGCCTTAGGCATCCAATGAAACCATTCTCTTGATATTTAGTTCTCCTATTTTTCCTTGTTGCCTTATTGCTTACACTCCATTGTGTTCTTTAAAATTCATGTGCATTATTTTACCGGTCTGTTTGAGCACTGCCTACAGTATGTGTTTAAATATTCGTTCAGATAAATTTGAGCCTTTAGCCGAAGGAATTCTTTTGTTTTCATCGCATCCAACCATCTATTAATTTCGAGGCTACAGGGAGCTTTGCCTCATGTCTTCGTTGGTTATTGCACAACTGCATGAGAGTGTATGAGATTCCTTTCAGGAGCGCTGTCGGATGTAAAAGCTTAAAAACATCAAGATGCGAACTTTTCCCAACGGATGAGGAGGATTGCTTATCAGAATTCCAGTACTTCTTATTCAAGACTCTCCAGATATGAGGGAATAATGGCACGGGACCAGAAGGCTATTGCTTTTTTAATACTGAAGACCGAGGAACATCATAACCTGGGTGAATGAACTGTAAATGCCCTTGTTGAGAGATTAACGTCACTGATGGGATGAACGGTACACTCATTCATGACCACCGTTTATCAAGAATCCAAGATCCTCTCCATAGCTCGAGGACGTTGGAAAGGCGTACGCATTCTTTGGATAAATGAGACCCTTGATGAGGACGCCGGGAACGGCGATGGCAAGTGTCATTTGAAAATAAGGATTTCGGGTTCGGTGTCTCGAAGTAATTTCGTAATCCTCCTCTGCAGCCTTATGTTGCGCAGTGGACCCCTGAGCGACTGACTTTCCTCGGGCAAGGGTTTCTCCAGACATCCTCGACTGTCATCCCGTCTCATCGCCACCTCCTCCCCGGACGCCAACTCACTTCCGCGGCCGCAGAAACTCGCCCTGTGCGTTTGTGAAGCATGGATGTCACATTCTCGAACGGCGCATGCAGAGAGGGAACACATGGGACTCACGTGGCGTTGTGCTCGAGGGTGTGAACGATGACTTGGTCGATGATTATCTTGGATTGAGGGAGCGACCGCCTATTATCGTTCGTTCCTCCGTGTTTCCATTTCAAGAGAATCTCATCGATTTCTCCGATCTCCTGGGATGGAATGAGGAAACTGAATCCCTGGCCTGGCTTGAAATGCAATTCCCTGTAAAAAAAAAAAAAAAAAATAGTCCGCCTTGATCCATTTCAACATTCCCTTATACAGCGAATTTATTCGCTGATAATCGTTTCCCTTTCAGTTGCCATTGAGTGAAGGTGAATGCTCAAAGCTCAAATACTCAAATAGAAGAAATGAGAGACCGAAGAATCATCCGCAGAATCGTTTAATTATTGATTTATTATATGCATTTAAAGTGTTGCATCTTTATCAGTTTTCTTAATTTTTTTAGCTCCCTAAAGATCTCAATTTCTCCATGAGGCAGAATGACATTAGTTGCTACCAAGCTAGAATAGGAAAATACCTCTTCAAGTAGAGCGAGATAAGTTTTTCCTTTTCTTTGAATATTTTTCTTTTCTCATCTTGAAGGAGAAGAACCTCATGGCTTTTAACTTAGGCAACCAAGTACAGGAAGAACAGGAAGAACTCTAGGTATTTGCAGGAAATCTCTTGCGATACGTCGTACACGAGGACTTTATTTTAGCTCTGCTGTCACGTTAATTATCACCATCACAATTGAGAGGGGTGACGTTGCACTTCAAGGAACGAGAGGATCCCCAACTCGATTTGCTCGGTTCTAACACTAGTTTTGCTTCTGGGTAGAAACATGAAATGGTGAAAGACTTCGGAAAAGTTATTGGATCTGAGACTCACGAGTCACCCTGCAAACTAAACTTGACTGAAAATTCTGCTGAAACGATGTGCATACTCATCTCCGAGTCGCGAACTAGAGGAAGAGCCACGAGATCCATGAAGAGTGATGTAAAAACTGCCGACACCGTCTTCATGGTCGTCTGAGATCTGGTGATCCGCCACGACCACCGTCACCTTGTGGGTCACCCCTATTCAGCATCGCCGTCGTCAGTCCATCAGCATTTGGGCGAAGAAAGGAATCGAGCCAGTAGGAAAAGAGATTGGGTTTTCATACGGCAGTATGGATGACGACGGCCGGTGAGGAGGTAGAATTTCCGGGATTCCCCTTCGTAGAAATCCGGTTTCCAGGCTTCTTTGGCATGATATCCCATTCTTCCACACTTCTCTCCCCTTTGGCCACAACTCGCACAGCCTCCTCGCCTGAATTCGTCAGAGCAAATCAAATCCGTATTACTGTATGTGTGAAATCCCACGTCGGCTGCAGGTAAAAAGAAGGGCCTTGCACGGGATTTCCATTTTTCCATGATGATGAGAGGAAAATGAAATGAGGAATACTCGAGATAGAAGACTCACGTGTACTCGGCATAATTGGAACACTCAAAAGCGAGGAAAGGGCAAAGAGAATTGATGGATTCGATGAAGTAGTCGATGCCCCTCATGTGGTTGCAACCCACGAATAGTCTCATACCTAGAAAAGCAAGGATTAGCATGTGAACACCCAGTCCCTTACATATAACGTTATTAAGTTTCCCTGGCTCTCTTGCACTAAATGGAATGCAAAACAAACTCTCAACTCCTTGCTCTCCGAAAAGAAAGCACACGTGTCTCAAAATCTGAATGACCGAACGAACGCTGGCATGGAAAGAGTGACTGACTCGAGACGCATGTGATTCGTACCATCGACGACAGAACCGTTCTCCATTTCGAGAGCTTCCTCAAATGTGAGTTTGCATCCTGGCATGTGGGTCCCCGAATTGGGATAGAAGTCCACGTGACCCAACGGCTGAGACAACCCCAATCCTGTCACGAGAAACAGCTCGAGTTCCGCCACTTGTTGCATCTCATAGCGAGTCGGGGTCCCAAGCCTCACCTCCTGTTGCGAGGGGAGCCCCATTGGTGTGAATGACATCCACGAAGAGGGCATCCTCCGGATCCAGTCTCACGCGCGGATCCGCATTTTCGAAAAGGGGTCCAGCCGGGTCGATCCCAGTGATTCGACCCAGTTTCCTTTTTGCCAGGTCCTTGATCGAGGATCCAATGTGGGAGACCAGGTGAGCTCCCAGACTGTGACCCACCACGTGTACATCCTCAATTCGCGTCCCCGCCTCCCTCTTCAGAAACGCACATGGAATATTGCTAATGATCCCCTAGAATCTTCCTATTCATTCCAATACATAGACATAATTCGCCTTGCATCAAAGAGTTTCTGGCACCTCAGTCAGCGAACAGGGACTTTATACTAAGTTTATAAATGAAATTATAATTTTCTTTCTGCTAAACTCATGATCAGAATCTTGACATAGAGCTTTAAATGCACTTAGTTTATGGTATTTCTTTCACGGGGCCCCAAAGCTTGAATCGATGGGCTCTGGGGCGAGGGTGAGGGGGTGGATGCCTTCTAAGGAAGCTCATTCGTGTGGACGGTGACTTCACTTGAGAGGAAAACGTCGAAAATGTATGTGAGACCATAGTAGCATTTAGTTCATGCGAGATGGAGGGAAGCGGTCCAGTGCAACTTTCTGAACAGCATTCGCAGTTGGAATCGTCTGCGAAGCTCAGGCATGACCGGCTCTGGCCTCATTCCAATTTTTGACAATCTCACCGAGACGTAGGTATTCGGGTTACATTCAGGTTACATTGAACATGACAGCAAAGCTGAAGCGATCTGAAATTACAAGTGCAAAAAATGATCCCTCCCACGCAAAAGAAGTGAATTGCCGAAATTGCAGGATATTAAGAAACGTCCACCTGTCGAGTGGATCTGTAACTAAGTGGATGTCTCCACCTGGATTTCCACCTGTTGGACACACCCTAGAGATGTTGCACAGATTTCCTACTCGCGATTAGAAATACCACCTCCACCTTTCATCGATAAGCACCTTCTTGGGTGTCTTATACCGGATCTTTGACCCCCTCCCCCTCCTTTTAATGAATGTTAAGCGAGTTTTATTTGCTTCGAGTCGTTCTATAGCCTTGAAACTTTAATTGATTTGAAGAACACGTGGAATTATTTGAGTGAAAAAAGAGGTTCACCGATTTTGTGCGAGAGTATATTTGGTACATTAAAAGGGAAAATTAATTTTTAAAATTCTAGTTTTTTTTATTTTTTTCCCCCACGAAACTTGCATCCTCTATTGACTGTTGTGTTTGCAAGAGACTTGTGAAATTACATAACTTTCATCAGGCCTAAAGAAGGTAAGAGGCAATATTTAAAAAGAAGTGGTTTATTGAAAATGGACGGGAGTCCTTCGCCCATCTTCATAACTTAACTTATTTTCAATCATCGTTCGTAGCTTTACTGCAGCGGAAAGAATTTTGCTGTATATCAGATGGTTGTTGCGAACATACCTGGTATTATTCTATGCACGGTACAAGTTTCCAATGAGTGCGGCATCGGTTAGGTTGCATGCCGGATAGGTCTTTTTTTTTACCTGTATATGTTGGCTACTTACGGCGAGAAAGAGAAGGAAATGTGCGGCCATGACACCGACGAGCCTGGCATTGGCAATCGCTTGGTTGTAGGGCGGTCCGGTTCCCCCGAGCCAGCTCAACGCCACGACGTTCTGGTCTCTCGCCTTCAGCAGCTCCTCCGCGACTTCCTGCATTTCAGTGGGAAAGTGAATGTCGAGCGGGGATGGAACGAGAGAGAGGAGGATGGAGGTCTGAACCAGCAGCCACCGCTTCCGTCCGTGCTCGAGGAAGCCGTGAGTGAGCAGCGTGACGGGATGCGAAGGGTCGAACGGGGATTCCCTCAGCCTCGAAGTCTCGTTCGTCTTCAAGGGCTGAAGAAGACTCGATTAGGGCAGCGAGAGCCATCGCGAATCCAAACTGGTCAAGAATTTGTGACAACGGCAAAAAAAAAAAGTGTGCAAACACCGTTGGAAACTCTACATAGAATCCTTGAAAATCTGAATGCATGCTTCCCATCGCACCCGTGGAACCATCAGAACTCGAATGACGATTTCTTTAACTCTCTCTCTCTCTTTCGCTTCTCGATTCCCGAAGAATCGCTTCAAAATACTCTGCTTATTTCCAGCCCCTTCAAGAATACAGACAGATGCGACGGTCGCAACGAATTAGTTTCCTTCCTTGGTGGTGAAAGAAACAATCCATGCAAGAATCGTCGCCCGGTCGAACGACGGAGTGCTGATTGCTTTCTAAGAAGCTTCCGCGTGGTCTAGGATCCCTAGGTCTAGAATCAGCTAGTCTAGGTCTAGGATCGTCAGCTCGACGTTTCCTCAATGTTTTTTCTTGCGAGACCTATTGGCAGAATTTAAGAAAGAAAAGATGGTTGTCGATGACATTGCATGCATTTCTTCCCACGGGATGATAGTTCTAGAGTTCCACAGGAACAAAAGAGGGCAACCTTTACAGGCAGGTGACCAGCTTGGCGTAAACAGTCGATCCTTCAAAATGTATCAGATTTATTTATGGGACCGATTTCCTTTTACGTCGATTTCTCGCCGATAGGTCTGGAAGACAATTAGTGGCTGCACCATGTTCGTTACTTCGTAATGCCACAATGAGCGGGATCATTTCTCCAATCATATAAGAGAGTCGCCGTACGTGGCAGTCTTTGGGGTTTCGGCGGGTGTAGAGGCAGAAGACCGGTCTGATGACCGAAGGAGGTTCCGGGTGTAAAGCCAGCGGCCGCTGCGACGTCCACGGATAGTCCGTCGAGAAGCATCCATACGGGGGATAGCATTTCTCTCCGTTCCTTCCTGCGCGAAAATGGAGGAAACGGGAGTAATGGAACGATGGGAATGGATGGGGGAGTGGGAACTGGAAACGCGGTGATGGAGTTTTTATTGGCGTGCATTTAATACGGCGACGAAGTTCTCCCACTCACTATCTCGGCTTTTCGGAGTCCAGTCTTATTTGTCGGGGGCCTGGGGGGAGTACGTGCCTCTCCCCCCTCTCCCAACTATTCATGAAAAAGAAACAATGGGAACAGTGTCCTTGAGTTCCTATGGCCTCCCCCCTCCCCCCTCCCCACACACTTTTTCCATCCACGCTGCGCTTATGCGAAGGTGCAGCAGCAAACACTAAGCGAAACTGTCGTTGCTCATCGGATCAAAAGCACCCAGTTGGCGTAATTGAGGCCCGCTCAATCTCTCACTCACAAAGCGACTGTATTTCTTAAGAGCTTACAAGAGCAAGTCTTACGCCCATAAAGCAAGCAGTTGAAGAAAAATCGTGATATGTCTCACGCGAGGGACGATCGGCGAACTCCAGAACCGGATTCTTCCCCAGAGCCCTGAAGGCGCGGCTACCTCCTCTCGGGCCGGACGAGTCCACGACGTAGTCGCGGGAGGTCGCCTCCTCCTCCACGTAGTCGCGCGCCAGGCGCTGCCACACGACATCCTCCATGAAGAGGAGGAAGGGCACCGCCAGGCCGGCGAGATTCCCCAGCATCCTCGCTGGAACGAAGCGGAAAAAGGAGGAGCATCGAGGATTCCGAGCTGGAGAAGCGAAATCCGGCGCCGGAAAGACAGGCCCCCCCCCCCTCTCCGATTTCTTTCAGGCGTACAGGCGAAAATTGTGAGCTCATAATACGCATTCGGAGTATTGGCAAGCTTTCAGAGGATCTCCGTGCCGTTCCGTCGAATTCCATTTCCCCAAAGAAGCTGATTGATTCCCTCAGCGTCATTGTCTTTTTTGTCTTAAATTTGTTTTTTTTTGTCTTAAATTTGTCTTTTATTGCCTTAAATTTGTCTTTTATCGTCTTAAATTTGTCTTAAATTTGGCTTTCATAATTTTTCATTGTCTTTTAGTCTTTTTCATACAATGGTATGCTGCGCGCGAGTGTACTGGGACGCTCAGTACCGCTCTGGGCCACTTGGACCAGATCTCGAGATTAAGGGAATTGAGCTTGACTGAGATTGGCTCGTGAGTTCCAGACAATCTCGGCTGGAAAACGACTCCCGTGCTGTTTCCCCGTGATCCCGGACTTTTTGCTACACACTGTAGGTCTTGGGCCAGTTGAAGATGTTTCAGGGAAGTATCAAAAGGAGAGCTGTATGGATAAGCTGGGTTCGTGGGCGATAGACGGAGTAAGAAAAAAAAAGTAATTTAATTAGTTTACCAAAATTTGCTGATTAGATTCTATGCCGATTCGAAATGGATCGCACGAAATAGCTTTAAAAGAATAATAAATAATAAGAATATTGATAATTATCAGAAATGGATTTTATTTCCCGGTTCCTGATAAAAATTCCCGATATTATAATATTAGGAATTTTTTCTTTTCGGCGACCGGTCGGCGTTCCGGCCGACTGTTGACACTTCGGACACGAACGACGACTCTCGCAAGAGACGATGTCCTTCCTCAGGACTTCTTCCATAAAAAGGAGATGAAAGAGAGATGTGAATAGATGGCCTTCGCCTTGAGAATGAGCTTCGGAAGAAAATCCGGAAATCGACGCTGAGTGAATTTTTTTTCTCGAAATTTATTATCAATTCATTATTATTTTATAATAATATTTATTATTTATTTGATAATTTAATATTTTAATTTATTTAATATTTTCCAGACGAGACGTCAAGCGACGAGCGGTGGCCGATTTACCTTGAAATCTGGATTTTTACCCATTTCTGGCCAGAAGGCAGGCTCCCGCCGAAGAGAAACAAGGCAAGAACGTCGCCCGTGCTCGCCGGGGGTTTAATTCGGAATCCCTCGACTTCTGCCAACGACTTTCCTCGTCTCATCGTCTTCCTTGTCGGTGGGGTGACTTTCTTCGAAATGAGGTCTGCATATGAGATCACGAAGGCATACAAGAGTGGGAAGTCATCATCGGTTCCACGCAGATCCTCACCCCAACCAAATTCCTCAAGAATTTGAAGAATTTAGAAAATGTCGTTTAGACTCAATATCACCAACCTATATTCGACCGACCTCTCACATGGCTGCAGTGTTAAACACCCTTTTGAAGCAACCCTTCATGTCGTCCTCCTGCTATCTGAAAAGGTCCTACCACTCATACCGCTTTAGGCATCCAATGAGACCATTCTCTTGATATTTAGTTCTCCTATTTTTCCTTGTTGCCTTATTGCTTATACTCCATTGTGTTCTTTAAAATTCATGTGCATTATTTTACCGGTCTGTTTGAGCACTGCCTACAGTATGTGTTTAAATATTCGTTCAGATAAATTTGAGCCTTTCGCCGAAGGAATTCTTTTGTTTTCATCGCATCCAACCATCTATTAATTTCGAGGCTACAGGGAGCTTTGCCTCATGTCTTCGTTGGTTATTGCACAACTGCATGAGAGTGTATGAGATTCCTTTCAGGAGCGCTGTCGGATGTAAAAGCTTAAAAACATCAAGATGCGAACTTTCCCCAACGGATGAGGAGGATTGCTTATCAGAATTCCAGTACTTCTTATTCAAGACTCTCCAGATATGAGGGAATAATGGCACGGGACCAGAAGGCTATTACTTTTTTAATACTGAAGACCGAGGAACATCATAACCTGGGTGAATGAACTGTAAATGCCCTTGTTGAGAGATTAACGTCACTGATGGGATGAACGGTACACTCATTCATGACCACCGTTTATCAAGAATCCAAGATCCTCTCCATAGCTCGAGGACGTTGGAAAGGCGTACGCATTCTTTGGATAAATGAGACCCTTGATGAGGACGCCGGGAACGGCGATGGCAAGTGTCATTTGAAAATAAGTATTTCGGGTTCGGTGTCTCGAAGTAATTTCGTAATCCTCCTCTGCAGCCTTAAGTTGCGCAGTGGGCCCCTGAGCGACTGATTTTCTTCGGGCAAGGGTTTCTCCAGACATCCTCGGCTGTCATCCCGTCTCATCGCCACCTCCTCCCCGGACGCCAACTCACTTCCGCGGCCGCAGAAACTCGCCCTGTGCGTTTGTGAAGCACGGATGTCACATTCTCAAGCGGAGTATGTAGAGAGAGAACAAGTGGGACTCACGTGGCGTTTTGTTCGAGGGTGTGAATGATGACCTGGTCGATGATTATATTGAATAGAGACAGCGACCGCCTACTATTATGGTTTGTCCCTCCGTGTTTCCATTTCAAGAGAATCTCATCGATTTCCCCAATCTCCTGGGATGGAATGTGAAAACTAAATCTCTGGCCAGGCCTGAAATGCAATTCCCTGTAAGAGTAATCGGCCTTGACCCTTTTCAACATTCACTTGTACAGTGTATTCATTAAGTGATTCATATTTTTAACCTCAGAGGGGTTATATTTTTACCTGATGATCGTTCCCCTTTCAGTTGCCATTGGATGAACGTGAATCCCAGTCAATAATTTTCATCGGGCCATGGAAGGTTTTTTTTCCGATGCGCATGTAAGCCTTAGTTGGGCCATCACTGCCATATGGTTGGCTAAGGGGTGGTAAAGTCTCCTTATCGTCGGACATGTCCTGTTGGCGCTTCATCGGGCAAACTTTGGCTCATTGTAGGGAAACCGCAAATGCTTCAACCATAAACTGACCTTTCACAATGGTGGAAAGATATGAGGAAAAACCCATATAAACTGCATCTACGGCATTATGCATCTTGAATACATATGAATGCATCCTTTTCGTCCCCTAGGGAGAGATAAATGAACAGTACTTTAATTGAGTACTTTACACAGGTATACTCCTATCGCGAAATGCTGAAATATCCCAAGCAATATCTCTTCCGGATGTTACGCATTCAGGAGCGGAATCACAAGGGAATGCAAGGGTCTCTGTCCTTCCGCAGGAAGCCAGGCATGCCCTGCATGTTATGAGACTTTTCCATCTCTTTCATGTAGAGCGATACGGGCGCGTGGCTTATTGTGGAAAGTATAGATAGAAGGATCCTCCCACGGACCTCCGAGTCGGAATTTCCTGGTTCATTCCAGGGCTAGGTTACATCTTTAGAGAAATGTTTCAAGGTATTCAATTATCTTCCCCGGAGATGTATGTGTGAAACCATAGGGAACTGTGTGAAAGGGACAGGGGACTAATTTAAGTTGGGTCTTAGAAAGTGACTCCCTACTACGACCACTTTGGCTACATTTCACGCCGGTTTTCGAAACCTTCTTAGCCACTTCCTCAGCTATGACCCGACGATAAACCAACGAAAATTTTTGACTGGGACGCTCAAAGCCCCCAAAAAAGTTCGAGTAGAAGAAATGAGAGACAGAATCTTAATATTAACTTTCATTCCTATGCATAGACTTGCATCAAAGCGTTTCTGGCACCTCAGTCTGCAAACAGGGAATTTCTACCAAGTTTTTAAATAAAAGGATTATATTTTTTTCCCCGCGAAACCCATGAGTAGAGTTTTGATAAAGTGCTTTAATGCACTTAATTTATACTATTTCTTTCATGGGCACATAGAGTCGATGAGCTCTGGGGCGAGAATGAAGGGTGGAGGCATTCAAACGAAATTGAAATGTAGTAATGTGAAAGCCAATTTCAATGGTTTACCTTTCTTCAACCTCAGCCCAACCTCAACCTCCCCCCCCCACCTTCTCTACGGAACTCACTAACTAGGCCCAGGCCTAACGACAGACTGACATCGGGTCAGGCCTAGGCCTACCTTTTTTCGTTCAAAAGAAGCGCAATCCTCGATCTACGGATCAATTAGGCTTATAAGGATTAATTCCTGGTCTTCGAGACACCTCCTTGAGGACGTGCAACGTTAGGCCAATCGTAGGACTATTCAGTCTCTCATAGCACATTTAACAGAGAATGTGTAACGTTAGACCAAATGTAGGGCCTTTACGATTTTCATGAACCATTTCGGTGCGGTCAGGGAACATTAGGCCTATCCAGAGTTCCTCGAATCGTCTCGACTCGTTCTGAGAGGAAGGTGCCTTTAGAAAGCATGACATGGAAGCTGACCGCCATCATGTTAATTTAGAGATGTCCGAATGAGAAATATCCGAAATATCCGTATTCCACCAATTCGATCGGCCACTGCAAAACACCGCCTCAATCTCAGCTCATCCCATGAATTCATCACATTAATGCCTCCTACATTAAAAAGAGAAGTTCCAGACAACGATACTAAGGCTGATGAAGTCATGAATCTACGATAACTAAGGCACGATATCCAGCAACACTGGAGGACGGGACTGGATCCCATCGCGCTAAGCCTAAATTAACGGCATCTAATTTCATTTTTCATGGCGAAATGATGCACTGAAGCCAAAAAGTGAGACTTTATGTCACCTCCAGGTCAATATCTTTCGTTTGGTTGGTCTCTTTCCTCCAAAAACTTCCCAGGAGCGGCTACCCAGGGTGGGGGGGTATTTTTTATTATTTTAAATAATAAAAAATACCGGAACGACTTTCACATCTCCCAAAAGTTAGATTCAATGATCTCCACAATCCCGGGGAGATGGAGCTTCAAATTTGCTGGGGTGATTCTGTGTTGAAAGAGGAAGAAGTATGCCAAATTTCATTCACATCGATGCTCTTAGAGAGGAATACGAGACGGTTGAATTTTATCTCCGGAAAGGGTTGAAGAA